TGTTAATATGTTGACAAAATTTCCCCAAATTATGGTGCCGATACGAATCTATCATTCATACTCGCTTATGAAATTCCGAGACTAAACCTCAATGAATTTAACAGAAAATATCCAGGAAGGTTAAAGAAACAGACTCTCAAAAACTGCTCTTGAATTCGAAAACTGTAAACAACAATTATTTACGCAAACCATGTGCTTACCAGCGTGCTTGTGAGGTCAAATTGCCAGAACCCCGTTTAATTGCATGATCACAGCTTGGATGCTTCTTGCAAAATGTGAAGACTACCAATTTTAGAGATTAATTCTTCAGTTTCCAGCATAAGGAAAAAAATATCGTATTGCAAGTATGTTTATCATAATGCCTCAAGATGTTGAGCGAAGAGAAAGTGGCTCCATGTTTTGTGACACAAACCATTTCCTGAAGTTCAAACGAATCGAGTAGAAAGCATGAAAACATAGCGCTGAAAAGTACGACAACCAAACAATTAAATTCACTCATCCCACTGTAGAACCATCCCCATTTTACCCGTGAGTTTGTTTGCACCACACATTTGTGGTCCGTAATTTGATTCTCAGATGTTTGACGGGTTCTCACATGACAATATCGTCATAATCAAATTACGCGTTAGACTGAATATAAACATGAACATCGCTTACTCAATCCCATTTTATTTTAATTTTGGGAAAGGCCATTACTTCGTTCTCAGGGTAAAACAACACATCTTCAGCAAAGCACAAATTTTTCAAATGAACAGAATAAATCCTGCGATAATTAACTAAAGAGAAAAAAAAGTAGAAACTTGCACTTGTCGTTCGACATCATTTGAAAACTTTCTAGGCATCTTTTCCCATAAAACCACAACTGTATTAAACTTTCAAACGAAAGGACAAGAAATAACTTGAAGAATACGAACATTATGCAATATTATTCAAGCAATGAACCGGCGTAAGAGTTTTTATGGTGATGAATGCCAGAGTCAATGTTTAACTGAAACGTGATCAGTTGAATTCAAAACTGAAGCTAGTATCAAATGACAATTGGAAAAAAAAAAGTTTGAATTTTTTTTTCTTAGTGTAAGAGAAAACCCAGATAGGACACGACTTAACTTCTCTTCTTTTGCGGATCCTTTGCAGTTCGCTTCTCTTTGTTGATGACCTCTTCTCAGTCTGTTTTCAGAAGCGACTTTGTATTTCCTTCTGGCGTTGCTCTTCGCTAGAAACTCGCCTTTTTACTTATGCCCTTTATTGTTCTCTTTTGTGTTCCTCTCGCTGTATTCTGCCTATTTTGGCGTCCTTTGTAACTCTCTTGCACGATTTTCTGGACTCGCTTTACACCGTTTACTTGTTGCTTTCTTTGGTCACTCTGTCTCTTTATATCCAGCCTATTTTCAATTAAAACCTTCTCTCCACAAACTTGAATTATATCAATTTCCTCCGGTTGACAAAGCTTAAACTCTGCTAGTATTCTTGTCTTACGAGTTGTTTAGAAATTGCAAAATACTGAGAATTACTGTTCAACTACATCCTGACCAGTTCGATTCCCCGCTCAAAACGGGGGTGGTAAATTTCACTGCTACTAGCTCACGTGAAGCCCTCGTGCAATGCCTAACCGTGTGCCCGCAGTACGCTACACTGCAGCTCAACGTTCAAGTATGCGCACTTTATCGTCATCTGACGGTGTCTCTTGGCGCACACTGATGGGGTATCCAAGTTACGCACGCAATCGCGCCTGCGCATTACCTTCTCCCTCGCCCTTCCATTACGTAATGGCTAAGATAGTGCCCGTGTTACAGTTGGCCACGCATGCTAAAAGTAGCACCTTGTATGGTCGTACAACCAAATTTTTTGGGCTTGATGGGTTACTACTATTTCTTTTAGTTATGGGGCTACGCTCTGCAAGCTCTGCTATAATCCTTAAAAACTCTTCGCGTACATTTAGCAAACCTTTGCTATGACCTTTGAGTGGAATGCACCTTGCCATATTCGGTGGGCCCGGTGGTTCACTTATGCCAACAGAACACATTATGAATATATAACTGCCGAGCGTCGATACATCCAAGAAGAAACAAGAATAAAAGCTAAAGCCAAAGAAAAAAAGCCATTTCTCAAGGAGGTCAACTCACTTCCAGTTCAAACACGACTTCAGCACGACTTCGGCACTCAAACTATGTACACTAATTTGAGCCCGCGATACTGCGCGCTTTGATTTTTCCACTGGTCAGCAGCTCATCAAAGAAAAAAAGTTCACAGAATTGACCAAGCCCTTTTTTTCACCTACACACCTCCTAGACTCATAAATGCTAAGCATTCACTGTTGTGTTAGCTTACATGAAGCGCTAGCTTACAAGAAATGTATAGCTTACATGAAGTAATAATTAAAGAGAGCGAACACGTGTTGTCCTTGCTTCGCGAGTAACTCAACATGGTGGCAGCGGTGGGATTCCTAATTGTACAATAAGACGTTTAAACTGAAAAGTAATCAAAAAAAAAAAACGGCAAT